GGAGCAGCTGACACGTAGCAGTCTCTACTAGCCCTGGTATAGCTTTACCATAACAATCTATATTCACTTTGGACAGGCCTTCTGTGCAAGTCTAACATAATGAAACTAAAGCGTCAAATCAGTCAGGAAGACTACCTCAACATTGATTCACTGCATCTAATTAACTGATTATGGCTGTCCACTTTTAACCAACTACATTTTGCCACTATCTCCAACAACCAGTCATTGCGCTCCAGTTAAACTTTAAACTGTGTCAAATCCAAATGTATTGTAGACACATAGACAATTTACAAATAAAAACAATACTATCTCCCCCATCCCAGGTAATAACCAGAGGAACACATAGATTTGTGATTAAAAATAACACATAATACCAGCACATGTATGTGTGTATATAAATAAAAATAAGAATACACTTATAATAAAATACAATTCAGTTAAAGGTGGGGTAGGTAAGTTTGAGAAACCGGCTCGAGAAATACTTTTTGTTATATTCCATGGAATGCTCTTAACATCCCGATAGCAATGAATATCTTAAGTGCTTTGACATCTGTGGAAGCCGTAGCGCTGTAAAAAGCACGACCAATCATTTTAGCCGGCCCGGCTAAAATAACTGGATGGCCTACCTGCCTGTCAGTCTTCCATCTGTGCACAAACTTATCTCATGCCCTCATTGGTCATGTGCGCGTTCGTGTGTGTTGGAGGAGGGGCTCTGTAAGGAGATGGCAGATTGTTTCCGGTTGTGTATTTTCAAATTGTAGCGCACTCGAGCTGGTTTCTCCAAAATTACCTACCCCACCTTTAAAAGCTCAATTAAAAGGTGGCACTTGAGTTAGCTCTTAGAAGTATGAACGCTCTCTGCTGCCAACAGGTCTTCTGGGAGGCTGTTCCACAGTCGTGGCATGTAATAATAAAGATACGCCTTACCATGGGTCTTTGATTTCCCTTTGGGTATGATTAAAAGGCCAGTACCAGAAGACCTGAGGTTTCAGGTGTTAATGCTGATTCACGTCGCGTCATCATAGTGCCCAGGTTTGAGCTGATCAGAAGTCCACTCCTTATCAAATCCAGATCTTTAGCATCCATTCCTCCTATCAACATCAGCACCCGTGTCTCGACCCAGGGCGGCTTTCCTATTCTACTTACGGCTGCATCTCCCCCTTAGGATATATGATATCACAATGGGGTCTATTCACCTAAGACTATTTACATTTCTACCATCTTGTGCACATAAATGTTTCATTAATCAAAAGTCTCTTCTAATTGAAAAACAAATGACAGGCACAACAATTCATGGATCCAAAGCTGGAGGTCAAAAATAAGTTTAATTAAAAAAAGAAAAGATGGCTAGACTATTGTTGAAACAGTTGAAATCAGTTAAATTGTCAAGGTGCAGGAATTTGTTTTGGGAACAGAACAAGGGGCAGCTGCACATTGCTGCTTGATCTAGATCTAACATGCTTTATCAAAACAGCAGGTGTGCACTCATCAGACAGATTCCAAGTACTCCATTCTGTTCGGCAATGTTGGATGATTGCCAAGGTCAAGTAAATATAAAAACACTTTTAAATATCATGTCGTGTTTTATTTATGCAACATATTTAATAAGAATCAGATGAGAGATCATTCAAATATCACATGCAGGTGTGTTTGTTAGAGTGTGCTTTGAATACATCCGAGGTAACACCCAGCAGGTTGAAGCACACACTGCTTTCAGACCCTATTGGACCCACCAATATTGGACCCAAATGAGAGCAATTAAAAGACAACACAGTGTCTTTTTGTTTGGAGCCAGTCACGCATTCTGTTTCACACCATTGATTTTTTGTACTGGATGAGTAAGTGTTTCTCAGAGGAAGGAAGCACATCCAGTGTACATGAATTGTTTTTTACTTTGAAGTCTGAGAGTCTTATGTCACATACATTTGAAAAATACCGTAAACTTCACTAATGCAAATTGACTCTTAATAATATTTGGTATGCCTTTGGTTATTAAGAGAATGCCTTTGATCATTCAAGCCTAAAGCACGTATTTATTTCCCCCTTACAGCAAGGCACTATTCAATAAGCTAAACCCTATGGCTGTGGATTTGCACACTCGGAGAACAAGAAAAACAACTTTGTGCCAAATGTAACAGGATCTCAGGAGTTTTTGTTTCCATTATGATCCAAGGGCGGCTCATCCCCTCTAACTAATCCAACTTGACATCCAGCACCAGGGTTACCTCCACCTTCTATACTTAAAACACATGACCACCCTTTTTACAGCACTCTCAGTAAAGAGCTGTGAAAATGAAGACGTTTCTTCTAATTTCACACTCGGTGCTTGATCGTTAGGCTCTTATTATGCCCCATTTGCTTCCCTCCACTGGCTGTGATGAACGCGGGGCAAAGAGGCCATGACAGGAAAAAAAGGGGCCCTCCATCAAAACACATTTTGTTAGGGGTCTTTTTTAGCCCGGATCAACCCCTTCCCCCCACGTCACCGCCAACACTTTTCCCTGCAGTTTCCCCTGTCTGCGTCCCTCATTAGCAGCAGCCCCCACCTGTTTCCTCATTCCGTTTTTATCAAACTGCGATTGTCCAACGCTCTCTGCTCAGTACAAGCGGACTGCCCGCTTTGGTTTAATTGGCCCACAGCTCCCCCCACTGCTCCTCAACAAGTGGGAAGGTCAATGGCTGCTCATGACCTGGGATGATGATGTCTGCCAATATGGGCCAAATGACCGATTTATCCTTAAACCACACCAGCAAGAACCTGCAGCTAGCATGCGGGTAGCTGTATTTATTTAAAGCTTCTAGACATATTTCTAATTAAAAAACACTCTTGAAAGTGTTTCGGTAAGACCACTTACAAATTAAATGTGCCAAGTCATACTAGCTGTAGAAAAGAGAAGAAAAACATTTTAATATGATGTGATTTTTTGTGTGTATATGTTTATTCACAACTTTAAGGACAATAGTTAGCTAATAAGGACTAAAGGGTCACTAAGACACAAATCAAAAATACTTATTATTTTTCTTTTTGTTGGTTAAGCTGCATTCTGTTTACTCTCATTATAATTTGTTCTATTATTTTTGGCCGCACTTCAGTCCTCTGTTTTGGTTGGCTCTTTTGATGGTTTGGATTTGAGTTTGGGTCGAGCCAGGCATCACATTGACTCAGTGTTTATTAGGACATGGGAATTAAGAACCAAAGTCGTTCTAATTAGTCCGAAAGTGTTTGATATAACGCCGGTTTCGCAACAAGAGGGGTGACTTTCTTCTCCCAACTCGTCAAAATCTGTAAAAATCCTCACTAAGTGGGCACTAATTTGAGAAATTACATCAGCTGTGAAATGAAGAGTGAAGTTGGGGAGGTCGAGCTGTGGAAGCAGTAGAGGGTGCAGCTGATTCACAGTGGCTCTGGGGGGGTGAGAGCAGCATTTCTTCTTAGCTGAGAAGCCGGGGTCAAGGTCACGACCTGCTTGGTGGTTAAAGCGCATGGTGTTTAAAGCTGGTTTGATCCATGGCCAAGGGCCAGGGAAACCACAGAGGCTGCATCTGGAGTCCGTACAGACAGAGCAAGGACTCCAATTGGTGTGTAATACGTGGACTTTGAAGCTGAATAGCATACTGAAATGTGCCCCTCCATTTTTCTTTATATGATTACCTGTGTAATATGATTATGTCAGTTTAGTGTGACTTTGATATTGGAAAAGTCATGTCATGTTTCCTCAGTGCTTCACTGTAGGGAAAAGAGCTTTCACCGCAATGTCAATAGCCCATTACCGTATGTGCTCTGAATGTGTCCCATTAAGACGCAGTATTAAAGTTCGACACGCATATCACATAAACCAGAAACTTTTCTGCTCTGTTCAAGTGTCTTAATGTCACGTCTCCGGTTTCTTTCAAAGCATTACAAGATGTGAACGGTTTCCTCCATGGGAGGAGAGGAAAAGGGAGGGTCAACATCAAAGCGCTCTGCCTGTACAAAGCAAATGTTTTTAACACCCCTTAATACAGTACTCAAGCAAAAATACATGTAACAGTTATTTGCAGCTTCAAATTTTAAAAGGTTAAAAAAAGGCAATCTGATTTAGTCTGTAAGCCAAATAGGTTGTCAAATGAAAATCTGATAATGAAGACCTTACTTTGTTTGATTCACCAGTCAAAGTTAGCCTTGGTACAACACGCAGATCATTCAGACAGCCCTAACATTGGAACTAAATCAATAATCACACAGTTGCTGTTCATCGAAAAATCCCCAATCATCAAAGTATTATTTCTCACACAGATATACCATCTATTTACTGGTATTGAAATACCAAACAACTTTATTTACTTGACTCAACACTCTGGAGTTAAGGTCAGAGTGAGAAACCTTTGAGTAATATTAAAGGGGCCCTATTATGTTTTTTGGGCTTTTCCCTTTCCTGTAGTGTGTTTCCGTGCATGTAAATGGTCTGCAAAGGCTAACATCCCAAGTTTTCCCTAAACACTCACCACCTTTTTGAACATTGAAGCATGTATATATTTGTTCAAAGTACTGGCAGAAAATACACATTTAGACATGAACATTAGCATTAGCATAATGTGTCCTCTTTAAGCCAAGAAATGTGAGGACACTCTGATGGCTGTTTTGCATTTCTTCCTTTTAGATTAGTCTAATGCAACTGGTTCATTGGAGATATTTCGTTTCTTTGCACCATCTAATTAATTTAATCAAAACATTGCTTGAGTTGATTAATCTCACTAATCAAAGTATTATAAAGTATGCATGAAAACATTCATGTTATTGCTACAAAATAGGTATCAGCGGGGCTTTATGATGTTCATATTAATTGGAAGCGTGCAGACCGTTTACTGCTTTACAGCTGAATTGTGCCTAATTGGATGAATCAAGTTAACTATGTGCCTAATTAACAGTTTTGTTTTTCATAAAATGTTGTATTTAAGTGTTCTTTTCAGAGCAGTCAAATGTAAACATGCTAACTGACTGTGTGTTTTTGTCTCAACAGTGGGAGGAGGTGAGCGGTTATGATGAAAACATGAACACCATCCGGACGTACCAGGTCTGCAATGTTTTTGACAACAATCAGAACAACTGGGTACGGACAAAGTACATCCGCCGTCGTGGTGCTCAGCGGATCCACGTGGAGATGAAGTTCTCGGTGAGGGACTGCAGTAGCATTCCCAACGTGCCTGGCTCCTGTAAAGAGACATTTAACCTCTATTACTACGAATCTGACTCGGACACAGCCAGCAGGAACTCCCCGGCCTGGATGGAGAACCCCTGGATCAAAGTGGACACCATCGCAGCAGACGAGAGCTTCTCCCAGGTGGATCTAGGGGGCAGAGTGATGAAGATCAACACTGAGGTCCGGAGCTTCGGCCCTGTGTCACGAAACGGCTTCTACCTCGCCTTCCAGGACTACGGCGGCTGCATGTCGCTCATCGCTGTTCGCGTCTTCTATCGGAAGTGCCCACGTATCATCACCAACGGGGCGTTGTTCCAGGAGACGCTGTCGGGAGCAGAGAGCACCTCCCTGGTGGCTGCACGAGGTGTTTGCATCCCCAACGCAGAGGAGGTGGACGTGCCCATCAAGCTGTACTGCAATGGAGATGGAGAATGGATGGTTCCCATTGGACGCTGCATGTGCAAGGCTGGGAACGAGGCTGTGGAGAATGGGACTGTCTGTCGAGGTATGTTCTGCTCTTATAATGCTTTTCTTAAATCTGCTAAGCCTTCTTCTTTCATAATAAATGTCAAAAGGATGTTTATTCCTCCCTCTAAACTACTCCAGGGGAATATTCAATTGATATAAGCGACTGATACATGGTCATGGATTAAAGAAACATGATGGAAGGTATGCATTCTTTGCATAAATTACCCTTATTGAAGCCATCATATTTGTATAAAGATGATTTATGTTTATTTATAACAGAAATGCGCAGATGAAAATGGCAAAAATGATGCCTAGGGCTTGATCTGAAAATATACAGCTGCTGTGGCTGCAAAACATGTTCAGTCAATCTTTCTCAGCTGACATAAAGGGATTGGAGTTGCTCATCATTGGTCGCAAATCATGACAACAGCCTGTCAGGGAAACATATTTATGCACTTCATTTTTTAAACCTCAAGACCTGCGTGTTTTTGTTCTTTCTTGCACACTTTACCAAGAGTACTTTATAAATGCTTCAGCCTACAAAGAAATGCCTCTATTCAAACATAACAGAACTCATGCTTAACATCAATTCAAAGAAAACAGCAATTTCTGTGCTCATCTTTTGTTGATAGAATGCCTCCTTCCCTCCCTGAGGACAAAGAGGATATTTTTCAAAATTGCCTTCATTTTCCTATCAATTGGAATACCTCACAGGCAAATCGATTCTGGCTTTTCAAAAACATCGATGTAGCCAACGTTTACCTGTGCCATGCCCTATCTCCTGTCTGGCAGGTGGTATTTGGTCAACGTGCTTAGGGATCTTGATCAGTTGAAACTGCGTAGCCCGCAGACTGGAGCCGTGCTGCTTCAGCCAACACAACAAACCACCCACCTGCGTTTCAGATCGTGGTGTTGCTGCCTCTCTTATGTGCGCCTGTAATTACAACACAACCCCCGGTGTCTGTGTTGGGAGGGGGAAACGTGATGGGTGCTGCCTCCCGAACACTGCCAGGGCCTGTTCAATGACTACTAATGAGGACAGGCACCAGCCTCCCTCCTTAAGGAATACTTGCCAATAAAAGGGAACATGAATACCGCTACTCTGCTGTAGCCAGCCGCTCTGAATCCACATCCCCACGTCATTACACAAAGCCGCTTGTTTTTTGACCTACATGTAGTTCACTGCGCGAGGTGGATTGGAAACATCTCGGGGGTGTCCTCGGTCATGTCGTTTTGGGCTAAACGGGATTATACAATTAAATTCTGTCAGCGCAAAGCATGTTGATTCATTTATATCCTCACACAGTAGGACTTTTTGACTGAATAGGGTTTTAACCTTCTTAACCTTCTTCCTCTTTGACCTGCTGCTGCACACCGGCTTTGTTAGCCAAGGTCCAAGAGAAGAGAGGCTGCCTGCATGCTCTCTTCTTCATCACCCCCACTGCAGTAGTGACAGTTATAGAACTGAGCACTGCAGGGCTCATCGACAAACTGCAGTGACCCTGACAGAAGCACACACTCCTCCTGTACACAGACACATTCCCACCGTTCTGCTCTCCGTCACTTCCCTGATCACGTGACTGGATATTAAAGCTTTATGAAAAGAATGCATTATCTGAGAGTGCAGCTGAAGAATGCTGCAAAATGCTAAGCATGGAGAAGGATTTTATGGCTCCATACAATAGTTATGAGCCTCGGTGCAAACAACCCAGCAGTGCGTATTCTTCTAAAAATCAAACCATAACAGATAAAAAGGGTACTATTCGATGCTTAGTTGATGACTCATTGTCGATCCATTCGTCTGAAGCCTCTTTTTGATGGAAGACCACCACCACTCTTGTCATCTTCCTTAACACTGAAAGCTGATATCGGTGTTTGAAAGCTGTGGTCAGTCGCCGCCTTTCAGCTGCCAGAAGTCGGATAATGAATTGATCTATGAAAGATGCGCCTTGGCCTGCTGATATCAGGGGTAATGAATTGATTTGTGAGAGGTGCCCTCTGAGGGGTTTGCAAGATATCCTGTTTCATAGCGGGATTATGGAGCTTCAGAGACATAGCATAAAGCATCCGAGATGAAAGAGATGGTACTGTCATGTTAAGGACGCGACCAATGCTTTGTTCCAACATCCCCGCAACTAAACGTGTAATTACGCTTGTAACAATTAAATCCTTGGCAGGGATCCCAGCAAATAATTATGCTGTCTTGAAATCTGTCAAAATATTGATGGTATAGGGGATGCACACATCAAATTGCTGAAGCCTTTTTCTCTGATATTGTCTTACAAGACAGATTAAGTTTCTCCATGTTAGAGGTCCTGATCCACACCAGGGTTTTTCAGAAAAGGGAGATCCTGCTTCCCTTTAGAGCCCCGAGGACACATGGACACATGAGGTCCTGTTTGCCCTTGCTGTTCACTTCCAGAATGAAAAGCATTCTCTTCACTGGTGCACAATGAGAGCCATGCTCATGGGTGGAATTGCAAACTCGCTTAACAATGCCCATGTGTGCTTTATCACTGTAATCTGATCATCTAACCCCATGCTAGTGTGAGTTCAAGGGTCTCCGCTGTGGGAGCGTGGCTCCCGTTATAGTACAGTGAAGATTCAGATGGAGACAATCAGTCACAGCTACACTAACAGCTGGAGTCATCTTTTTGTTGTGTTTTTCTTAATTACTGTGTTTGGTCAGGAAGGGAAAGCATCGTAAAACACAGCGCCACATTTCGTGTGGCCCTGTGGTCCAGATTTGTTGGAACAATAGTCAACACATAACATCACACAGCAGGACGGTGGATACTAAAGTGCAACTGTTACATATTCTGCACGCTCTTCCACTTATGTGCAGTTAAATAATCTTGCCTGTGAAACCAATCTGGTTGCCTCAGAATATTTATATATATATATTTGAAGAATAAAAAGAAGTACATTGCACTGCATTTTGTATACAGTGTTTTACTGTAGATAATCAGATTACAGTTCCTGATGTTAAATGCTTGTTGGAGAAATGTGTAACAGAGATGCACTTGCAAACATGCCTCCCCAATGGATTTACTGGAGCACATTCTACTATACATGCACGACAGTCATGTACTGCTCTGATTGTTGGGGGGAGTGTGTGGGTCAGAAACTTTTGGATTTTAGCGTTTGCAGACCGTTTACATGCACACAAACCTATACAGGAACTACAGGAAAAGGAACACCAATGAGCAGAATAGGTCTGCTTTAATCTCTTGGTGAGGTCTCGGTAGTATGGCTGCTCGGAATCGAGGCTCCTGCAGTTGCACCCAGAACAATTAGATTAAGGCTTCAGTAATTCTTCAACCTAATGCGGTTGTAGATAAAGAGAGTTAGGGGGATCGAGTGCAAAGGCAGGTGCCATGATTGGATAGGCATGATTGCATGGAAAAGAGAAGGGGAGGAGGCGAGGGCAGGAAATGAGTCCCCCTAACCCACTGTCAGAATCCCAATTATTGCAGCCTCTTTGTCTGGAGAGGATTTGAGGGTGGAAATCAGCGTAGCACAGACAAATCCATGCTGCCGCCTTTATTTCCCTGGATGCCTGTGCCTTTAATGGCAGCTCTAATTGACTAACAGCGCACGTGGGGCACAGCCACGCTGATGACTGGATGTCAGTCTTCCACTCTGGAACAAGACACAAAGCGAAAAACAAAACAAACACACCCCCTCAAGGCTCTTGCTGTATTGTACATTGTGCAAACAGAGATGAAAGAAGGTTTGCATTTGGCTGCGGTAACGGCGCGAGAGAGTGAGTGGGAGAAAATAAGGATAAGAGAGCGGGAGACCAAAATGTCAACAGTCTGCCTACACAATAGGCACTCACATAATATTATGTGTTTGTAAGTAAAAGCCACACTTATTCTCTTAGATTGATGGTGGCTTCGGGTGCTGTTAGGAGAAGATCGTTTAGTTAAGTATAAGGCATACAAATTGGTGTCTGAGCAGATGCTGCAACATTTGTCTGTTCAATGATCTCATAGACAACATTACTTAATTTCTGCACCATAGGCAATATCACTTAATTTCCATTAGTGTGCCTTTCATTTGAAACCCAATAAAGGTTGATTTGTGTTTGATAGAGATAGACACGGTGTAGGATGTCATAACAGCAGGAGGCAAGCAGACGAGCTTTAAGACATGTCATCCTGTCCGCAGAGGCCCCCGGGGAACATTCAGAACCTTTATCCCCTCTTCCCCACTGTGATAGGATTTCAGTATGGCCAGGTGCTTTTTTTCCCTCTGTCTTTCAGTCTTTTCTGTTCCTGCACACATCCATATAGCAGGAGAAAGAGCGGGGGAGCCATTCATGAGAGGAAGGGAGAAACCTAATGAGTTAAATCTTCCATACAGCCCTTCTTATACAGTATACATTACAGCATAGTTATTGCACCAATGACATTACATGCCTGAATACATATGCATACATGTACCATGCTATCATGTGCACACATTGGAACATTATATACCCACACAGAGGAACTCTTTATCATCCTCGTTTTCACAGCACATTCATCACATGCGGAAGTGATAACGTGACCTGCGATCCCTGCGAATCTCCCTGAACTCAAAGATCACGGCCTGTTAAGCCCGTAAACGTTTTCCATGTGTTTCAGCACATGCTGGTCTCTGCTCCACATGCCCCCTCTGTCACACTCCTCCTTATCCCACACTATATTTTGAATCTCAAATGTAGGCTCTATGACCTCTAACAATACCAAGACCTTTTTTAAATATGTTTTTGGTCATCTGTGGAGGCTTCCTGCAGGTCTGGTTCTTGCTTGTAACACCTATTCCTGTCTTACCCTGAGCCCCGTGATACCAGAGCCTGATGACCACAGACTGGTGTTTCTCCATGTGGGAGAAACTGGGTGACAACCCTGAGACCTTTTGCTTTAGTTTGATACATTTACCTTAGTGAGACTGTAGGGACTTTAAGGAAATGAGAGCCGTGCAGTGTGTACTGTAGAGATCCTTCCATATGTGCCTCCCTTTTTCGTCAGGGACAAGGCCGGGGCTTTG